TTTTTTTTTTTCCTCACATCGGAGTGGTCTGCTGTTGATGACAAAATGACAGTGTGCGTAAGTCTAGGAAAAAGTGGAAAGTTTGCCTAAAAAAAGAACCTCAGCATATGGTCTAGTATTCCTTTTGTGGTTTAGGTAATTTAACGGGCACACACTGCTCGCCTCTGTCCAGCTCCACACATGATTGCTGTTCCCAATCCTATCCTTTGTGGCTGGTTCTTCTTTTAAAAGGTTGTTTTTCTACATTGTTTTTTTGGGAGGGGAGAGTAGAGGTTTTTGCCTTAGGGTACATGTGCTTGCTGGAGATAGACAGAGACAGTGAGAAATCACTCCCTGGGGGGATGGCTACACACAATCCCTTCTCCTCCAAGGATCTTGGGCATGCACACACACCCGCCCAGTTGAATTTCAAGCCAGTGGACTGGGACTCAAACTGCAGTTGGCCATGTGGGAGTCCAGCAATCTAACTGTCGTGCTGTCTGCTGGCCCCGTCAGAAGTCAGGTAGTCTGTGGAAGAGCTGTCATCAAAATGCTTTTGTGATATGCATGTAAAATGACTAAAGTTTTCACATTAAAATCGAGTTTTAAAACTTTCTTCTTCAAAGGAGCATAAATAAAATATTGGAAGTGGTGGATATATTTTTTACCTTGATTGTACTGATGGTTCATGGGTGTATGCATATCTGAACTCATCATTTTATATATATCATATATGTGCAGTTCTTGTATATCAATTGTACTAAAGCTGTACAAATAAATTAATTAAAAACTCTCTCTTGGGACCAGCAAATGGCATCATGTTTACATCACTGGACTCCCATGTAGTTGATTGCTCTTCGTGTCCCAGACCTGGCAGCTTAAAACTCAATGCTGGGTGTGTGTGTGTGGTGTGTGTGCAAAATCCTGAGAGGAGAATGGAGGAAAAGGGATTGTGACATGTCCTTCCCCCTTGGGAGAATGATTTCCCGCTTTCTGTTTCTCTGTCTCTTTCTGTCTCTCTAGCGAGCACACATGTCCTATAGCAAAAAGTCTCTCTCTAAAAAACAACTCTTCCTGGAGCCAGCAGGTGGTGTGGTGGTTCAGGTGCTGAACTCCCACATGGCCATCTGTGTTTTGAATCTCAGACCCAGCAGCTTAGAATTCATGCTGGGCACGTGTATGTTTGTATCCCAAATCCAGGAGGAGAATGATTGTGGTGTGGCCATCCTCCCTGGAGGGTGATTTTTCACTTTCCCTCTCAGTGTCTCTGTCTCTCTGGCAAGCACATGGACCATATGGCAAAAAGCCTTTCGAAAACACCGAAGCAAAACAAAATCAACTACAACAAAAAAATCTCTTCTTGTACTTTCATTAAATTAAATGCAAGAATTATTTACTAATCACTACTTAATGTTTACACAAACTTTTTGTGGAATATATAAAAGGGAACTTTAAATATTCTAGCCTATGAGTAGAACCAATATTGATTTGGTATATTTAAGACAATGCATAAGAGCTTAACAATATTCCTAGGGCTAGCCAGGTGGTCTGGTGGTGGAGGTGACTGGATCCCACATGGCTAACTGTGCAGTTCGAGTCCTGAACCTGGTGGCTTGAAAAGCACATTGGGTGCATGTGTGTACTTGCCTAAAAGCTTGAGAAGAGAATGGAGGAAAAGAAATTGCGGCACAGTCATTCCCTTCTGGGAGATGCTTTCTCACTTTCTCTTTTTCTCTCTTTGGTAAGTACACGTGCCCTATAGCAAATTAACAAAAAATTTAAAACAAAATT